TACCTCTCTCTTCTCTCTGCTCTGGGCTTATGTTTGCTCCATTTGCCTCTTTCTTCAGCAGTCTCCTCCAACCTCTCTCCTGTTTGCCAGTTGCTTCCCCTTTGTGTTTCTCTAATCACACTAGCAGTCATTACTGAATTATTGTTACCTGGAAAACTTTGGCTATTAGGGATGGGGGTATAGAAATGAGATAAACAACTGCAGAGGTCATGACTGACAGGTCTGTTGGTGTCTCAGGAACACATGAACACCTTTGTTGCCTGAAGCGCCACAGCTAACCTGTCAAAAAGGTCATAAATAGATCCAAAGCCATGTTTTGGCTAACCTTGCTCTAAACTGACAGAACTTGTGCTACCAATATTAGCTCCTGCATGGGAAATGGAAGATATTTATGATACTCTGGCAATGTACACACCCTCACATGTTTGAAGTGTTAATGAAAAACCGAAGAGTCATGATATAGCTCTTCTTGAATGACACCTAAAGTAATAAGAATATGAAAATGGAACCATAAATGCATCTTTTAAGTTGGATGTACTAAATTGAAGGTCACAACCACAAATTTGTTTATATTAGGGTCAACATGTTCAGATTGGGCTGTTATCTGAAGATCAGATACTTGCATAACAATTCACTATACAAATAGCTTCTGCTGCCGACTTACAATCACATGCACACTATTACTACCACCTTTACCGTGTTTCTACGGTACAAGTTCATATTTTCTACAGCAGTAGCAATGAAAAAAGTTGCATGGTCATTCACTTTTTAATCAAGACCTACATTTGAAATGAATCAGACCCAGAACTACTTCTAATTGTACTAGAAAAGCTCTGTGAAAAAGGAGCCATTTCTTCCTAACTTGCATATGTATGGCCGGGTCTACACAAGTTCTGCTTCCACAGTGATGTGCTCAGAGAACACAGGCCCTGCTTGTTCAGCAAATGTGCTAAGGGGCTCTAAGTGCACATGACTGCATGCATAGACAGCCTGATGAGCCATGGAACCCATTCTGATACGAATGTGTGGACACTAGGCGGAATATAGCTGCCAGGTGTACCAGAGGTGAGCTAACCCACACAGTCAATATTTGTTGTTTTTTTACCACACGCAGTAGTCCTCTCAGCATGATCAACTGCTCCTACCCAGAATCCTCTGCAGCAGAATCTGCAAATTATGCTTTCTGGGGTACAATCCCAGTTTGTTCAGGCATGCAACTATATCAGAAGATGTATAGGAGCCTCAGCTGCTTAGAGCACTGTGGTTTCCCTACAGGACCCAAGTGTGGTCTAGGACATGCTCAAGTGCCACAAGGGCATGCTCAGCCTGAGATGCTAAAAATCCTTCAGCAGAAAATTTCAGGGATGACTATGCATTAAATATTTTGCTATTATTTAAAATATCTTTCTCTCTCCCCTTCTCTCACCACAGCCACTTGCTCCTACTAAACTTTCACTACCTGATTACAGAGAAGTTTCTTCCAAAGATGTGAATTTGTGTTCCTAAGTGTTCACTGTAGAAATTAGTTGTTTTATAAAATGTTTATATCTATACAGATATCAAATGGGGGATCTAATTTTTAGATTAAAGGGGTACATATGTGACAAACCCCTACTTCTAAAGCAGATCCACAGTGCCCCCTAGAGCATCAGGTCAGTTGCCTGCTGGCAATCTGAATTCTTCATCTAGCCTTATCTCTTTGTTTAGTCCTGTAAAATGCAAGTAACAATCCTTTTCTTGAATAGGCAGCTGCCACTGGCCCCACACTGAGTTTGAACTCCTTTCGCTTAAAAGTTCTCCTCTGAACCACTGTGGAAAACATAAAGACCATTCCAAATATGTATTATTTTGAAGACTATACAAGTTAGCAATATCTACTTTTCTGTTCTGGAGAAAGTAAACATCTATATTTGTTTACTTCTATACAAAAATAATGGCTCACATTGACAGAATGTAAAAACATTTGCAGCTTAAGCGTATCCATTATTGCTGCTGAACTATGTCATGAAAAGCACCTATACTAGAAGCAATTAGTCTACAAAAATTTACGGAGGCCATTTCAAACAGGTGAAACACATTTCAAAAGAAGTCTTAGTGGGATGGGAATTAAGTGCAGAAAGCCTCTAGAATACTTATCAGGCTGATGGGAAAGGGATATCACCTTATATTTAAAAGGTTTGTTTTGCTTCCTAAGCAACCCTACTGGGGCCTTTATTATGAAGTCAACTTTCAGAGTATTCTTTAAGTACAAATCTTCTTTTGAGGATTCCCTCTTTCCAATGCCTGCTTGACCTACTCCACCAGAGAAATGCACAGCATGTTACAAAACCACTGGCTCCAGCAGAGCTAAAAAATAAAAACAAACACACCAAAAACCTACCAAAGTACATGGGAAAGGAGAGGGATGGTGCAGGGATGAAACAGAACACCCATTTCATTTACAGATGCAGCTTGCCACTCCATTCAAAGAAATGCTGCAGGAAGCAGAAAGGAAATTGGTTTTTACCGGAGTTTCTCTCCCTCCACCATGCATTACTCTCAAAGCCTAATTACACATGAATTTAAGCAAGTCTTTGAAAAAGTGTGCTGAACACTGCCATTTTTATGTTGAAAAGGCAGCCAGTGAACAATAGTAATTGTGCCTCTTCCCCCTGTCCTGGATTAGAGACTGGAAAAAAACATGGGTCATCCCTCCCACCCCCATAGAATTCTAGAAAATCCCCTTTCCTATACCTCTTCCCCTGAGTTCTACCACTTCTTGCCAGCAAGAGAAGGCTGTTCTTGCTTCCTCACCCTTATTCACCTTCTCTGGATGTACTACCACTGAGAGAGGCAAAGTGACAAGCAGAGGTGGCACCTATTCTCATGTTCTTCACTCCCACTACCCCTCTTTGCATGTAAGTTAGAGATAGGAAGTTAGCAGCCAGAGAAGCCACCACCTCTTTCTACTCTATCACTTCGGATGGCCCCACAAAAACCAATCCTTCCTGCCAAACCACTACCACTACCCAAGCATTTCTCTCTCTTGCCCAGTCCTTGCTGCCAAGAAAGAGAATGGCCGGGTAATCAAGAGGCAGCTGCAGCCCATGCAAGAAGCCATTACTGCAGCTTTCTACTTACCCTCTCTCGGGGTTAGCACAGCAGGAAGCACTTGTTTATCAGATTTATATCCCACTTTTTTCTTACAAAAAAAGCTTATATCATTCTCCTACTCTTGCTCCCAATCTTATCCCAAGATTAGCCAATAATAGTAAGGTATGCCGGGCAGAGAGTCTGTGACTGTCCAATATCATCCAGCTGGCTCCATGACCAAGCAGGAACTAGAACCCAGATTGCCTAAGCCCCAGTCCCTTGCTCTTAACCACTACATCACACTTGCTTTACTGGGCAGAATCCTCACTCACCATAGTGCTGCATGGACACAATTTATGTGAGAGGATGTGGTGGCTGCTCCCTCCACCACCAACCCTATCCAAAGAGAGAGGGTGAATGAATGGGCTGAGGCTGCCATCTTCTCTAGGGAACACCACAGGCCCAATCCACTCTGCCATGGGTGCACCCTGGTGAACAGAAAAACAAGCTGTTGCCTTCTCACAATTGTACACTTCCAAACTCGCTTCCAGAAATACTCCAGCCAGAAAGCATGAGAGAATAAGCAGTACTTGCTTCCTGAAGGAGCAACAACTGGCTGCATCCATTTAGTCCTTCTCCTAGTAGGAAACCCTAAGTGAGTGAAGCTGCTGCTCCCTCAACTGTCCCCTTTCTGAAATCCTCTGTCTGCTGGTGGGTTACAAAGCAGAACAAATTGGGGTTAGCTATGCAGGGGAAGCAAGAGTACAAAGGGACAGTTGCTTGTCTATTTGTTCCCTCACGTGCTATGAAGGATGGGACAATTGCACACATCCCTCACAACCATTCAGGTGAGCGAGTCCGAGGATGAAGCTGCCGGCCCTTTTTACAGTAACAACTAGGGAGTGCGTGCAGGCAACTTCAGCTCAGTTACACACCCCAGTGAATTTCCGCTGAGGGAGCAGTTGATAAATGGCTATTTTCAGTTTCGCCTTATGCAAGCTGTTTGCCATCTAGTGAAACCTCTTTTCTTCTTGCATAACACGAGAAAAATCAAGAAAAGGATTCATCCGCGTTTCTAGGTAAATCTGGAGGACCCACGTGTGTGTATAATTCCCACACCAGCCAATCTAAATAAGGCGATGCAAAAACAATCTTGCAGCAGCACGTGGAACTTGTTACCGGGATATTAAGACGGCGGAGAGGTGAAGTCTTCCTACTCGTTTTCTTAAAGTACATCTACCGAACGCCCATTCCTATAATGCTTGCTCTTGCACAACCATGCCTCACACATTAACTCGATTCGCTCCTCCAGAATAAGAGGGAAAGGCCTAGTTCCGCCGCTGCACTGCAAACACAAGCCCTTACCGACATGGGAAAGTCTCTTACTCGCTTCTAGGCGGAAAGAAAAGCGAAAGCGGCTCAGTGAGGGAGTGTCAATGAGAACGGAAGCGGCACAAAGCAAGGCCGTCCTTGCCAGAGGAGTTTTGATTTCGCCTTTAGGCGTAGAACTATAAAGCGAGTCTCGACTTGTTCTCCCGACCACAGAATCGGGGCCCAACCAGCTGCTGGGGGGGGGGGCGCAACTCCGGGCACGGCTGGGAGCATCGAGTGTAGGAGTTAGAAGGCGTGGCCTCGGCAAAGGCACGCCGCAGAGTTACAGTATGCACGGGTCATGTTTGAACCAGGCGGCGTCTTTTAAACCGTGTTTGGAGCCGCTGCAGTAGTTTGCTGAGTGGTGTCGCTTCATGTTCGGTGAAGCGTTGCCTTATTCTGCAGAATAAGGTGCTAGGCACAGAAACAGAGGAGTCTTCTTTCCCGTGTGCAGTGCGGCTGCTGCAAAACAGGGGCAAGCCTCGACAAACTTGCTTGGATGTCCGCTCTAACCGCGATTTGAAAGATGCCGTTGGTTCAAAAGTTAGCAACCCTACCTGAAAGCAAGTCCCCATTGGACATCGTGGGGCTTATTTCTGAGTAAACACGGAGAAGCTGGAGCTGCCAGGCGTTGGATTCGTGGTGGCAGTTTCTCTCTCACACACGAACATGGGGGGGGGGTGAATGAGGAAGGAGGCATGCCACAGCTGACCTGAAAAGAGGAATATAACTGTCGGCTGGAGATTTTCTGCAGTCTGCAGGGAACGGGGGCAGGCTGGGCAAGATGGCTCGCCTCATGAGAGTTCTCGTTGCGGCGGCGAGAGCTGAGGAGTCGGTTCCTAATACTATAAACTGCAATTCCCAGCATTCTCCACGCAGCTTTTTCCCCCTCGTAGTAACTTGCCCATACCTGAATGTTCTAGCTCTTTACCTTGACATGCAGCTGTAGGTGGAGGGGAGGAGTGGCTGAATGGGTTTGAAGTTTTTCTTCTGGCTGCTTGAGGAAAATACTGAGAGAGATTTTCTGTAAACATCTTCTCTGCTAAATTCAGTGTTCGCTGTGTTCACCTTGGGCGAACATTAACAAACGCATCCTATTTTCCTTTCTTTTGTTGCTTGAAACATGTGTGTGTGGGTGTGTGAGATAAACTGAGCTTTTTGCGATCACCAGACTAGCGCAACAGGGAGGGTTGTCTGGATTTTGCACCTTTGAAAGTGTTGCCACTTGCAGCACCCCAAAACATCCCAAAAGTAGCTGGCCAGAGGGAGGCCACAGAATAAAAACACCACGGTTATACTGTCCCAGAAGGAAGGGGGGGATGAGAACAAAATGAGCTTTGTGTAACCCACAGCTAACAAGCTACCCTGACCTCCAATACAGTAATCAAAGGGACAGTGGAAACTAGTTATAGCTGCCATGAAAGTTGCAAATGTGCAGGGCGTAAGAACATGGCAAGCCTGTGTGAATCTCGAGCAAATAAGAACTAGACATGGGAAATGTCTGGTCCTTGACAGAAGAAAGGACTCTTTGAAGCTAACAGCAGTGGGGGGTGTATACATTGTAGTATTGATGCATTAAAAGTGTATTAGGTAACCTAATTGCTTACCTAGGCTATAAAATGCATCCCCTTTTGTCTCCCTATAGTGCACTAGAATAAAGCTAGTTTTGGCTCTACATCTCTTTTCAGGCTCCTTTTGACTTGGTCCTGGGGTCCACCCAGGTTTGCCCTAGATGTTGTCTGGTTGAGTGTAGTAACAAAAGCACTATACAAATGTTAAGGATTACCATCCTTTTTTTTTTTTTTTTTTTTAACTGTCAGGGCTTCTGCCCCTTTAGCAGTTATGTACACAAATAATGGGAGTTGATGCTATTTTCTTGGCAATATCAGAAATGAAGGGGGTATTTCCCCACCTAATTCTTCGTATAACTGTTGAAGGCAAAGAGCTGGGCCAGTTCCTGGTGTGTAAAATGGTATAACTATTAATAGTGATTAATAATACTGTTATTTGCTGTAACATTTTATTTATTTTTATACTTATTTTCTGCTAATCAGCCCAAGAGTCCTCTAAGTGGATCACAATCATTAAAACATATAGTAACAATAAAAGCACTGGTTAAAATACAATGAACAAAAACAATAAAGACAGTACATATCTGAGGGCAATAATTTAAAATTGTATGCATTAGGGTTAAAGTTAAAATTATCAGAATAAAGTCAATTATTAAAATGTCTAGAGAATAAAACTGTTTTCTCCTGGCATAGAAAAGATTGTAGTCAGTGCACCAGGAAAACTGCTTTTGGAGGGCTGTTCCATAGGTGGGGTATAACATGAGTTCTTTTGGAAATATTGTTCATTTTCAGTCCAGATAAACCATTGAAAAGGCAACTTTTTTCTACAGTTTGAGATAAGTTTTTTTTATTGAGATGCAAATGGATCAATCAAGTGTATTATAGAAAATGGGCACCTTCCTGCTTTGAAAAGCTCTGCTTTTTAGTATTAACAGTTAGATGCACCATTAAGCTCATTGATTTCAATGGCTTCTATGTGCACAACTCTATATAGGATTGGGCTATAAGAGTGCTAGGCTGTTGTACATTTAGCCACTGTGACTAAAAAAGCCCCCTTTTCCTTGGAAGTATTTGCTGCTGCTGTTAGTATATCCTGCCCTTTTTCCTGAATGGAAGTCAAGGTAGGTTATATAGTCCTTCATTGTGCTTTCACAACAACCCTGTGAGGTGGGTTAGGCTGAAAGTCAGTGACTGATCCAAAATTGCCCAGTGAGCTTCATGGCCAAGTGGAGATTAGAACCTGGATCTCCCCAGCCCTAGTCCTGTACACTAGCTACTATGCCACACTGGATCTATTTTAGCCTACTCATTAATTTAGCACTCAGTGCAGATGACTTGATTTTTAGTTCAGTCCAAAATAATAGTAGTCATGATTTTTTGTTCGTCCGGAATGTAAAAGCCTATTTTAATCTAAACTTCATTAGAAAAAAACAGTGAATCAATTATTACAGTTGATGATTGAAAGTACAGAATAGTTGCTTTTAATAATTTTAAAAGAAAAAATAATGTTCATCTTTCCATATTGAAGAGTATTATGTGTTTAGTGATATGTGAAATATAGCACTTTCCAGAAAAAATGCCAGTAATTTCAGTGAGACTTGATCCCTATTAAGTGTATTGCAGATTGTAGCCTTAGCACTAAGTAAGTCTCACTTTCATGACCAAAGATATAACACTAATTTTTCACCATGGGAAAAAACAGGATTACATAGCAACTCATACATCTCCCAATTATTTGTCTTTATATTCATCAGTAAGAATTCTGTATAAAGTGTATAATGGAAACATTTCTAACAAAGCATTCTAAATTTTGCATAGGCATTCCCAGGTCTGCCTGCCCACCAACTCACCCATTTTCTTAATAAAAAAAATAATTCCAGACTTTAATCTAGTTTTAGTTTGTAGATCATGCTGTTCTGTACATTTTAGTGTTTGTATTGATCAAACTAGTACCATTACACTTGATTTACACTGAGTAGGTGACTAATCAGGCAGTGTTTCATTTCCTTTTGAATTTTTCTAAAAATAAAACATAAATACATTGTATCAATACCAACTATATATACATAGCATGATGATGACAACCAAAATGTTAAAGTGGCATATGCTAGCTGAAAATCTTGTTTTTAATATTTCTCTTTCAGTCCCCTTTTACACAAAGATCCATTTCTTGGCATATTATTTATAGACTTTATTCTATAAGGCACAGGGCACTGGCTCCTGTTCCAGCTTTAGGCAGCAGTCTTAAAAACACTTACTTGGAAGTAAGTTCTGTTGAACACATTGAATCTTAGCTTTGAGTAGATTTGTCTAGGAGTGCGTTGTCAGTTGTGCTTTCTTGCACGTGACTAATAAGTTCAGATAGAGATGCACAATCAGATTCAACATGACGGTTCATTAAAATGCATTTCCCTATCTAAGTGTGCATTTATATGAGCCAGACACGAGTTCTTGGTGGATCAAAGTGACCATATGGGCAAGTTTTAGGGTGGGGCAACATTAAACAATTAAGTTGCCAAAGCATTCATCTGCCATTGCAAAGACACTTAGTTGCAGCTTCTGCATACCTTTCAGAAAAGTGGTTAATATGTGATATGTTAGACTGAATTGATGGCAGGTAAGAATGCTAGGAGTTGAAGGACTTCTCTATCTGAACATGACCAGAACTGCACCCTACAGCTGCCTACAAATATTTTCAGAGTAATTTTCTCTTACTGTCATAGTGGGTCTTGCTCCAGTACCAAATCAGTTGTTGGACTGGGGAGCCATGTTTGGTAGATAAAGAGCACTCGTTTCGTTCTTTTAGAATGCACTGCATCCCACAATGATGGTTTTTCAAGAACTAAGAAAATTACCTTTAAATGGCAGGGCTTTGCCATTTACTGCCTTTTACTGTTTCATTGAGGAAGAAGCACTCAATATGACATGCAGGAAGATGAGTAGAACGTAGTTTGGCTTAGGCATTACACCAGTTTTCCATACAGGATTCATTTGCATCTCATACTTCTGTGTTTTAAATGCTAACTGCCACAGGTTATTTATTATTAATACTAGAATTCAGAATTCATTTTGCATAAGAGGAATCTAAACACAAAACAGTAATTTCCCCTAAGTTCAAGAATATGTTTGGCATAATATTTCCCACAGCACTAAGCTTACTTCCTTATGAAAACAAAGCCTGGGATTGGTGCCAGCAGATTCTAGGTCATGATTTAATAGAAACTCTTAACAAAAAGGTGGATATTAACAGTTGTTGAATTATATATTTTTGTTCTTAGTCAAGTTCTAAGATTAGATACCACTCTTAGTCCTTATTTCCTGATCCCAAAAGTGTTGCCTTCATGACAGGCACACCTGCATGCACTCACTCTTTGTGTGCCTTTAGTAGCCCACCAACATAATAATGACAATAAAGAAGTTTGATGTTTTAGATAGATACATTTTAATATATACATTACCTCTCAACTAATAGATAGTTTAAGATTTAGGTCACAAAAGATGTGACATCTACCATATCTCTAAGTTTCTTGTGTTGGGGAACCAGAAGACTCATATGAGATTAGCTAATAATTTCTTACTAGACTAATCTTAGTATCAGTCATAAACCTTGTATGTTTAATACACTAGATGGATTTGCAAGTTACATGAAACCATGATAATTTCTTACCCTTGGTGGTTAGAACCCAGTCGTGAATTTTCAGTGCATTTCTTTGGATTCCCCAAGCCATAGATATACAATGGTTTGGCTCTTGCCTCTTGGCAGACTGGCAGAGGCTGGGAGAGTGGGCTAAGGGTGTCCAGGGGACTGGCGAAGGCAAGGTACGAGCTGGGCAGAGAAACGGGGACAGGAGCAGTGGAGAGGAAGGAAGGCAGGGCCAGAGAGGCCAGGAGGAAGCAGAGAGGTGGAGCCAGCAGCCTGAGAGGCTTATAAGGCCACACTCAGCCATTGGCAGTGCCAACAGACACGGTGCCAATGGTGACACGTTAAGGGCGATGTGACAAGGGTGTCATCCCTTGTCTGCATCCCTTAGCTGTGGCTC